CAAACATTGGTTAAAAGCTATGAAAGCTTAAGTAATGCCTCATGTTGAGGATAGGCATGGTGACAGTGGAGAGAAAAAACTTCCCTTTAACAGGAATACTTTCCAAAAATAAAAACTTGCCTTTAACAGGAAGACTCCAAAAAATAAAATTAACTTGGCGCCAATTACATAAATTCATTAAAAATAAGCTTAAGCAAAGCCTCCTACTGAAGATCCATGTGGTAACAAAAATGGAAAAAACTTCCCTTTAACGGGAAGACTTTCCAAAATAAGGTTAAAACTAGACCAATTATTTAAATTGGTTAGAAGTTAAATAAAGCAATGACTTCATCCATCTGATGACAGTGGAGAGGAAAAACTTCCCTTTAACAGAAAGACTCTCCAAAATGAGGCCAACACTGCACCAATTATTTTAATTGGTTAACAGTTAAGTAAGCCAAATCAATGCCTCATATTTAGGATACATGTAGTGACAGCAGAGAAGATCAACTTCCCTTTAACAGGAAGAACCCTCCAGCAGAACCAGAAGTTGGCTCTGTACGAAAGGCCATCTGTCACTACCCCCGGGGGATTTGAAAGGACAGGGTAAAGAGAGACAGAAAAAGAAAAAGAGCTGCTCCAAGAGTATTTCTATAGGAGAAAAGAGTGTTAGTTGTAGTAGAAGCTCCTTTGGTGGCTTTATCTCTAAGAAAAAAAAAAGAAGTTATTTTTAAACAACAGGTCCACCAGTTGCTTAGTCTAGGAGAGGAAATGGGTTAAAACAAACTTAAACACTGAAGGACAGGTCCTGGTCAATCCTCTCCAGAAGGAAAACATGGAGTTTGGCTGAAAACCTGCAAATAAGAGATGGTGGATTACAGTGTGAACATTACCTCTGGCTCCTCTGGCCTGCAGCTCCAGGAGATCTCTCCGTTGTCGTCCAGCAGAAATAAAATTGGCTCCAGCAAATCTCTCCGTTGTCGTCCAGAAGAAATTAAGACGCATGACGAAATTGCACGAGGCCACGCGTTGTTACGACGCAAAAATTAATGGGGTTTATGTTTAAATTGAACGTAAATTAAATTTGTTTGAATTATTAAAGTATGGACCCTAAATTTCAAATATTAAGTAGGTACAAAAAATAAAAAATGTATGTATGTTGAAATGAACACCAAAAACATATTTGATATTCATTGGAAAGAAATATCATCCTAATGCAGTTATGCTAATGTGATCATAGTCACATTATTTTAGTACTAATAAGATGTGTCATGAAGGTTTAGTATTTCCAAACCCTAATCTGAATCACTACAGCCTTCAAACTGTATTTGCCAAGTTATTGACAGCCATCTTTCTTTCACAGCACAACTGACTTTAAGCCAGGAACTTCAGATCCTAGTTACACCTAAACCTCTACAGGTCACAAGATCACAGCAACTGTTTCAAACACTAAAAATTTAAATACAGAAGGATTTACAACAGCAGAATCCTTCTCTGCTCATTGACTCTCAACGGAGAATCAAACCAAACCAGCACACCAGAGGCCAAGCATTGGCCTTCAACAGCGTTAGCAAAACCCGCAACAGCTCCTACCCTGAGATGTCTTCTGGACCCGCCATTGGAACAGTTCTTGACAGACTTAACAAACCTTTGACGGGTTGGGCGGATCCGCCAGGCACCTTGTAGCGATTCCTCAGCTTGACGGAAGCGATCCTCAGCTTCAGTGAAGGGAATCCTCAGCTTGATTGTAGTACATCCATAATCGATCAACTGCCAACGATCCTCAGCTTGATTGTAGTACATCCATAATCGATCAACTGCTAGCGATCCTCAGCTTGATTGTAGTACATCCATAATCGATCAACTGCTAGCGATCCTCAGCTTGATTGTAGTGCAGCCATAATCGATCAACTGCTAGCGATCCTCAGCTTGATTGTAGTGCAGCCATAATCGATCAACTGCTAGCGATCCTCAGCTTGATTGTAGTGCAGCCATAATCGATCAACTGCTAGCGATCCTCAGCTTCATTGAAGGGAATCCTCAGCTTGATTGTAGTGCAGCCATAATCGATCAACTGCTAGCGATCCTCAGCTTCATTGAAGGGAATCCTCAGCTTGATTGTAGTGCAGCCATAATCGATCAACTGCTAGCGATCCCCAGCTTGATTGTAGAGTATCCATAATCGATCAACTTAGCTTGACTGTAGCTAATCGATCAACTGCTGGCTCCTGACGCCATTATATCTCCTCAGATGTTTCGGGACGCAACCAGCCAATCAAACCGCCGCTGAGAGGCCACGGTCGGGTCTCTCCTTGTGTGCTGCTCTGTTTAGACACACACACAAAAAAAATGGTTTCACTGACGTCATCGGTGGAAAAAGAGAAATAACTTAGGACAAGGCTTCGGAAAAATAACTTACCCCATAACCAACGCAGCGATTTCAAACCTGCCTCTCCCGCGGCGCACTTGACATCAGTGCGGCCTACTCGTAGTTCAAGCACAACCCACCAAAAAAGGCCTCGATGAACACTGGCACGATTTCAGTCGGATCCACAAAAGGTTCAGTCATAAAGCTGGGCGTCCACTCAGATTTCTGATCTTGTGTCGTGTGAGATCAGAAAATATCATTTTTAATCCAGGTCCCCGAGTTTATGAGTATCAGACCGACGGTATCGTGTCTCCGTGCGGCCAGGTTAGCCGCATCTTTTTCAAAAACCCTCACGGAGAAGCTGCGTCATATTTCTATCCAGCGTGGCGCGTGCGCCTCACGCTCACTAATAACAAAAATGGCGCCATTCCCTTCTGTTGCCTGTTGTGGACACAGGGTAAAATTAAACTTATAAAACCTGCCCTACTGCAAAGAAACAGTATGAATCTAGACCTCTGGATTCTAAAGTCGGTCCTGCACGTTTTAGTTCTCTCCCTGGTGGAAATAACAAATTTTCAGCTTGTCCATGCTCTAATTAGCCCTTCTAATGAGCCATCATTGGATCCAGGTGCGTTTAATTAGGGAGAGAACTAAAACATGCAGGAAGCGGCCTTCAATGACCGACCTTGGGCACCGCTGCTCTAATAAAACTAATGTTTGAAACTATATGTTTTATTCATAATCTGTCCCTGATACATTTAGAATAATTTAGAGAAACAGTAAAATTAATTTATTTTCCATAATGTAGAACTGAAAATGTTTTCAAAATGTACATTTTTCTAAAAACTAACTCTGCAGATCATTACCAACTTCAACTGTGGTCTCAACAAAAACAAAGACGCTCAGCCTTCACCGAAACCACCAGTCACATCCACTATCTGTCAAAATATCATCTAGTTTCAACCATATTTGTTATCTTTCTGAACCATTTACTTAAAGAAAATTTTAAAATTGCAAAATAAAAACAGATTTTTTTCTCCACTTTTCAATTTTCTCTAATGTATTTTGAAAAAAAAATCATCTGAACTGATAATGTGCAGTGGTTACATAAAATAATATTGTGTTCAAATTGTGTTATAACATGCAAGACAAAAGTTGATATCAGCTGTCAGCTATTATCCTGAATTACGTCACAGCACAAAGGTTCCCATACATGGAGGGGAAAAAACATAGCAGTCCCTCAGTCCATTGAACAACACAGAATATAACCAAGCAAAGAGCTTATTTATTATATTTTTATACAATCATATGCCACAAATAGTGTTAAAATGCTAAATTTTCTGTGTGTAACTGATGTCACAGATTTTCTATATAATACTAAAACAATAGCTATGGTTGAGTTTAATTCTCTTTCAATCTCAGTCTTTAGTGTAAAACAGTTCAGGGCGCCCCCTTGTGGACTTAATAATCCCTTCACTCCTTTCAGAGCCTGAAATGTATTGCTTGTGTGATTTTCAGAGAACAAAACGTTTAAAACTCATTACTTTAGAGCAGTAAACTGTCACGTTACATAAGCATGTTTTCTGATTGCTGGGTCAATACAAACACAAGCTTCAGACAAAATGGGAAGATTTCTGAATTAAAAGCTCCTGTTCCATCAACTGTCTGTAGGTAAATCTGTAAATGTAACCACCAAAAGCCAAATGACAAACTCATATGGTATTTCAAAACTCAAAATGTACATTTCACTTTCATAAAATCTATGCACAAAAAAACTGTTTCCCTATTTTTCCACATGTAGCATTCATTGTTTAATGTGCGGTCCTTGATTAAATAAATTTGAACTAAACTGAACTGAACTCCACTCTCTGTACACAGTGGAAATGAACTCCACTCTCTGTACCGCAGCATTGATAGATAAATAGCTGTAAACGGATTGAGGCCTCTGAAAAAGAAAGAGTCATGACTTTAATCTTATGGCGACTTGTTAGGGCCAATACAGAGAAATAAAAAAGGAGGATGACATTTCTGCCAAAAAAAATGTGAAACTTTGAGATTAACATGAGAAAATTTCAAGGCAAAAAAATTGGAAATTTCTGAGTTTGAAAACTTTTTTTTTTTTTTTTACTTTTTGAATCTTTCCAAGATTTTTTTTCAAGCTAATTTTTGACTTTTCAAGTTTAGAAATTAATTTATTTTTAAAAAAATTATCTTTGAGAAAATGTCAGATTTTTCCATCATAATTGTCTTCCTTCCATTTGCTTTTAAAAGAAGAACAAGAAGAAAAGCAAGAAGGGAAAAAAAAGAAAAAAAAAAAAGTTTTCTTCTTCTTCTGTTCCTTTTCTTTGGCGGTTGTTAGGAAACTAAAGGTTTGTATTACCGCCACCTTCTGGTGGAAATACAGTATAGTTGATGACGGCATGATTTCTAATTCAAATTCGATCAAACAATTCCGTTTTCTTTAAATAAGTAATGATTTGTATATGTTTACTTCTCAAATTATTCTTTCAGTATATCTATTATAGTACACTTTTCTATATTTTTCCAAACTCTCCTCACATCTTCTCTCTTCTAATAAAACATGTTGTATTGTTTTATTTTGAAAGTCAGGAAGTTTGACGCTTCTTCAACACGTGAAGGCGCTGTTTTCAGAAACAACAATGTCCGACAAAAAGGAGGTGAATTTATCTGGAGTCCGACAGAATAAAGGCGTGTGGCTCGTTAAGGTTTGTTCATGTAAACTGAACTGCATATTTGCTCAGATTGAAGCTCACAGATGGATCAAAAAATGTCTCTGTGTTTTTCTCACAACTTTAAATGTTTCATGATCATTAGCTAAGAAACAAACGCGAATAAAAAACATTAATTAGCGTTTATTTTCACCTCCCGTCAGGTTCCCAAGTATCTATCTCAGCAATGGGAGAAGGCCACAGAAAAGGGAGAAGTTGGAAAGATATCAATAGAAAAGTATGTATCAAAAAGTTCTTTATCTGTCAAACCTGCAGATTATTAATCGTGATATCTGATGTTTGGCTTTTCTGTGCTGCAGAAAAGCCAAACAGGCAATTAAATGCAGGCAATTAAGTAAATGTTAATTTATCCACAAATCAGTGATGCATATTTTGTTTGTTTTTGTTTGTTAACAGAAAACAAGGAAAAACAGAGGTGAGACAGATTTTCATGATCAAACCATAATTTTGTTCTCCTGTCATATTTCAGCCATAAACTTCAACATTTGTTTGGTGTTAGACGGACACAATGTTGCCTCGCGTTTTCTTTGCTCAGTAAGCCACAGATTCTGCATTTAGGTGTGGACTTTGAGCCATTCCGTATTATTTAATTGTAACTTTGCCTATGTGCTTGTTTTTTTTGCTGGCCTCTCATAAGTTTCCCCTATGATGCTGTCACCATTCATTCTAAGATAATGAAATTTCAGTCTGATCAGTTCTGCCTTCTCTGAGTTTCTTTCAGAATGATTTTATGTTTTAGGGCCTCTGTCCCTTTAAATCCAAATAAGTTGCTCTTGGCCACACCCCTGTTTACATTTGCATGTGAAAACAGCTGCAAACACATGGAAAATCCTTGAAAAGGAGAAGTGGAGCCTCATGCACAACCAACAAGAATGCAGCAAGTACGGTAGTTTCTGAAACAACAAAACACTTGTCTTTTCCAGCAGCCATTGTACATTGCACACATCAGGAAAACTAGCTGACCAAATGTTCTGGAGTTGGAGCTTGGGTTGCTAGGAAACGGGTGGAACTCTACTGGGGTTGCCAGGCTGTGCCTGTCAATTGTTACTTAATAATCCAGAAGTTTTTGAAACGCCTCAGATTCCATACACCAAAACGCATACATTTATTGCCAAAAAATGGATGGGTGGTTTCTTTCTAAGTGCTTGTGCTGTTTTTAGAAGTAGCAGAGACCCCAAAGGAAGCACAAAAATGTCCAAAATGTGTATTTTGAATGATAGATCCCCTTTAAGTGATTTCTGAAGGCAAATATAATCCCAGTTGATGTGTGTGGTTGTTTTGCGATTAAATGTAAAGTTCACAGGGTGTTAATACTTTTGCATGGCTCACCATGAAGCGCTCTATTATTTCGGTTTCCTGTAGTCGATATCCTCTTTCTGCTTTGTTGCGCCCCTTCTCTGTTTGTTCTTACATGACTCAACTTCCTCCCAGGAATCAATGAAAGTTCACTGCATCATTTCTGACCCGATTAAGCACAAGACAGACGATAACATGACTTGTTGTTTTGTATCGACTGAGCCGTTTGTTGTCGTTTTTTCTTTCTTCTCAGGTGTGTTTCACTCTAAATGAGGAGCTGGCTGCCGTGACGTCTGCAGGAGAGAAGGAGGAGTCCCTGCAGGCCCCAAGGGAATATCCCTTCACGATGCACACAGTGGGTGCACAGACGATGGCTGTCTTCAGCCAGACCGACACAGGTCAGTCCCATACAGACCCTCTGACTTTAATGGTGTTTGCAGCACCTGATGAAATGGCCCACAGGACAGTAAGATAAACTGAGACATTTCACAATATTTTCACATTCAGATTAATTTTTCTTGGTTAGGAGCTTTCTCCTCTGATTGCACTGTAAAATTCATGAGATTACTGAGACCAGCTCCATATTTGTGGAGGACATTTTGCTGCCAGGCACAATGTGTCATTCGTCCTTTCAGAGCCAGCATTTGCATCAGATCAAGAGCTTAAAAATAGCTGCGACTGTATTGTTGAGGTGCCTGTTACTGTGTGACCAGAGAATTACCAATATTTATTAGAGTTTTGCTCTTAATTCTTTGAGTACAGGAATTAGATTTATAATTGGATGATTCATTGATTATATCATTTAATTCTTATTGAGTCAATATTTTTTTAAATTTGGGATTTTTTTTCACCAATGCACAGACCTGTCATAATAATCAATAAATCAATGAATTGGATGATTAATTAAAACAAGCTCAATAATTTACATTTACTTAATTTATTCTTTTTCTTTTTCTACCAGAAAGTGAATAACAAAAGTCTTCAGTTTTGGTTTCACTAGCACTTTTTTCATTACAGTTTTGTTTAGAGACTTCATAAATCATTTTATTTGTTGTTTGTGTTGGTTTGTACTTTTTTGGGGGAATATTTTTTATTTCTGGTGAGATGGTTGTATCTTGATAATTAATATTTTTTCTTATTAAAACAACTTTTTCTAATTTTAAGAAGATTTTTCTGGTAAAATGGTGTCTTTTTTCTGCATAGCACAGCCCTAACACTTCATTGTAGAACACTAGTTGAAAATCTTATCTGGTATTTGTAATTTTGATTTCAGAAAATAAAAAAATGATTAAAATTTGAAATTGGATCTGGTATCAAAAAATCTGAGATTTTATTGTCAAGCCACATTGCCCAGTCAGAATTTATAATGCGTAAAATTAAGTTAAACATTAAGATATTTCTGTAATTCAGTCATTATTGCAATAAATAAAATAATAGCAGGGGTTTTGATTGGAGAGCGGCTCTCCACCTGCCAGGCCGGCAGCACTCTGCGAGACATGAGTGATTTCCTCTGAGGTGGAAAAAGACTGCATAATTGGCCGATCTTGGCTTTTAAACAAAAAGCATATTTTGGGTGTTTCCCAAGGCAGGACCGAATTAGTTTAAAGCACGCTCTTTTGCAGAGGGGAGCGTGTGAAAATGGAGCAGTGAACAGATGTCTGGTACAGTTTAGCAAGCAGAGAAGATGAGATTAAGAGAAGAGACAGCAACAGACCAACAAACTGTACATTATTTATGCCATTTGTTGTTTTTAATTATAGGTTTGTTTCAGTTTAGTTAATTAGCTACCCAAATAATTGGGTACATAGATTATTGTTTTTGAATTTATGTATTTGTTTTTGTCTATTCCATCACTTTATGAATCCAGAAATATGTTTCCAAATGACTATTTATGTATTTATGTGAAAAATAATCAAACTTAAATCACTGTAAATATAATTTTAAAGATTAATGGGATTCTTTAGAGAGGCTTAAAAAGGGGACCTTTTACAAAAACAAAATATACATATATTTTGCACATTTTTGTATTTATGTTTTACTCTCATCTGCTTCCAAAATCAGCCATTTTATGGCAATAAGTTTATGATAATTAAGTCACGCTCCATGGGCACTGCGCCCCTCGTTACCTAGCAACCCCACCCACCCGAGCCCAGCCTGTTACCTAGCAACCCAAGCGAATTCCAGCACATTTTGTCAGTTGGTTCTGAAAGGAGCTCAAAACAGCCAGAGTAAAATCTCATTATCTGAGAAAAACTGTAGTTAACCTGTTTTGTAAAGCGTAAAGGGAATGTTATAGGACAACTTTGATATCTGAATATGGATTGATTGTAATAAACCGTCGATGTTGTATTTTTAAGCATCATATTTTGGTTTGTTTTCTTTCAACCGATCCTTAAATTATTGTAAATATAATTTACCGTAATTTGCATCTTACAGAGGAATAGTCCCAAAGCATGACCTTTCAACACGTGACAGAACAGTAATTTTTCCCACTTATATGTTGGTTAAAGAAGCAGTTTCAAATGTGGTAAAAAGTTCTGTTGGATTTTAATTTCAGACATCTGAGCCCGAAGGGTATTCAATTTTTTCCCCTGCTCATCCAGGTTTATTCCATCACCACCCTCATACGCTTTAAGATGTTCCACACTTTCAAGTGCTCAATACCTCCTACATCCAATAATTCACAAAATTTGCCGGAGTTGACACGGTACAATAACACGGCTTTATTCTGAAGTAACTGAAGCGGTGGGTGGGTGAAAGTGTCGCTGGGTTATAATCTTGAGGATGTAAACGTGGGAATACAGCAAACAGGAGGTTTAAAAACCTTTTAGTTTCTCCCGAAAGGTGTAACTGCTGCAGATGGAAGGCTTGAACGGTGAAAGTGTGATGCTGGAAGCTAGAAGTGGGATAAAGTCCTGTGAGATGCGGTGGTGTGTAATCTGTTATTTACCTGACCGCCGCTCGGCTCCGCCCCCACTCGCCTACAGGAAGGAGCACCGGTCTCCCACACACTGCTGCTCTCTGACACACACACATTTCACTGACAGGTACTGACAAGACATGTCAGTACCTGGACATTAACAGGTAGTTTGATTTGCACTTTGCTTTCCATGAATCTTTTCTTAGAAAAGATACATTTGACTCTATATGCTGTATTAAGATACAGAATTGTTCAGATTTTTTAGATTAAATGGGAAAAATAGTGCTGAAGTGTATCTAATTTAAGAAAAATAGTGGTTTATTTATCCATTTGTATCTGATAGATAGTAATTTGTTTTAATATGGTGCAGGACTGTGGACAATAAAAGTGAAATAATTTGGTTAAAAAGAAAGAAGAACAACCTTTGAACTTGAACACCACTCTGTGTTTTCCCATTTATAAACAAGCAGGCAGGTCTGAGGTGGCTGAATAGAAACAGCATTAATCATTCTTGCATTTATTTGGTGTGGAGAGCTCTGAAAACAATAAAAACAACTTTTTTTTTATGAAAAATGAGAGTGGTGATCGGCTTTTGTTGATTGCCTGCGTCTTATAATATATACATTACAAAAACGTTAATGTGAGTTTTGAAATATCTTTATCTTCATATTTTTTGTCAAACAGAAACTTCCATCTCTTCCTTTCCGACTGATCCAGCGCTGTACTTGTCTGTAAGTTTGGACACGGGATTCAGCTGTTGCCTCCAGTGGCTTTAATCTCTTTAATCCCAAACCAATTTGCATTTCATCCGCCCCTGTGGTGAAAGTTTCAAATGAGCCGGCAGCAACAAGAGGTTGCTTACGGAGACGTACATTCGCTCCTGACTTGGCTTTTGTGCTCCGAGGCCGCTAGCAGAGTATTCCTCCATTATTTCCTCTCCTGTGGTTCTGCATTGTTCCAGATAAGCACCAGGTATTGATAAAGAGGTTGCTAAGGAACAGGCTTCGCTACCACAAAAGAGGAGAACAGAAAGCAGGACTTAATGTTGTTACAGTGTGATTTTTCTCTCTGCTGCCTGGGAGGATTTTCATTGAAACCTTAAAATATTTGAGTGCAGTGAAGTGGAAGCCAGAGTTTGATCACTCTTTTCATTGTGAAGTTAATTTCATCACAACTTTGCATAACTTCTTCAACTTATTCCAGAATTGTATATATAGACTATAAACAGCTCTGGAAACAATTAAGAGACCAAATAAAATGTTCAGTTGCTCTGATTTTACTCTTCATGTTTGAGTAAAATGAACATTGTTCTTTTACTGACAACATGTCTCTGAAGTTCTGAACCAAAATTGAAAATTTATTAGCAGAAAATGAGAAATGGTCAAAGTAACAAAAAGATGCTGTGCTTCCAATTAATGTAAAGAAAACATCAATACTAGTGTTTTAAATCACTGTTTGGCGGAATAGTCATGAGGTTTTAACATATATGTACTTTTTTGGGAATATAAAAAGTAAAAATCATGGGAGTAACATTTCCATGTTTAAACATGTTAGCTTATCAAGGAGTCAAATTATAAACATGGTACAAATAAATAACTTTTCTTAGAAATTCAGACAAAATGAATAGACATAAATATCTGTGTATTAAATCAGCTTTGCAAAATATATTTAATTTATTTTGCAACACAGAATAGTTCACAATAAATGGAAATAAAATGTGGCATGGGTATCAAAATATTCATCAGACTACACTGCAAAAATACTAAATCTTACCAAGTATTTTTGATGTAGTAGTTTCTAGTGCAAATGTTTTAATACATTTGAAATAAGAGCAAATTCTCTTAAAAGTAACTTTTCAGCAACACATACGGATTTATTTTAATAAAGTAATTCCTTAATATGGATGAAAAAGTGCTTGTTCCACTGGCAGATTATTTCACTTATAGCAAAACATTTTCCCATGTTATGAGTTAATTTATCTGCCAATGAAACTAGAACTTTTTCATCAATATTGAGGAAATATTTACTCTTATTTACCTAAAATAAGGCTCTATATCTTGCTGAAAAGATACTTTTGAGTCAGTTTTGTCTTATTTCAAGTTTACAAAGTCCAGAGTTTACACTTGCAGAAGAATTGAATTTTAAAATAGCCTTTAACATTTACAGCCATACATGATAATCATAACTTGAATAATCTAACTGGGTTTGTTTCCTTTGAAAACGATGCTTCACTTCAGTTTTACATTACTTTGTGTTGCTTTGTGGCATAACGTGGCATTGAAATACATGGATATTTGTTGTCATAACATGCCTGGAAAAACACCACAAAGAGAGAATTCGTCAGAACAAAAACATGAGAATCTTTGAGGAAAAGTGATGTCAGATTTGAAATATGGACAAACTTGTTCTGGAAATGTAAAATGTTGCTGATCTCCCTCATTTAGATGTTTTGACACATCTAAAGTAAAAATGTTTCCA